AAAAAAAAACATGCTGGTTTCAAATATGACATTAATGTTAATCAAAACACTAACTGAAACACTAACATCACAAAACATCAAAACTCAAATAGCTTATGCATTATGATATGGAATCCAATACATGCAATGTAATGCCAATTCTCTCCCTTACTACAAACTCTCAACATGTTTTTATGCAGTATAAAAAATGTATCAATGTCTCTCCCCAACGACCCCTAGACATACATAAAATCTCCCCATTTATAAATACTCTCTCCCCCCTTTTTGTCACAAATGACAAATGAATAAAAAAACTTTAACATAAACATATAATCACTTAAAAATGCGATCGTTGGCATGCATAAGTATAATCAATGTACAGTAAACCTTCCCACATATTCAGTTCAAGTTAACATGGAGTAAATTGTATAAATGATCCATGTGTGTAAAGTGTCACTAATCCTATATAAGCAGGACTCCAAACTTTAATTTTGTAAGAAAGGACATGCTAAACATCACTGCCAATAAGTATATTTCTCTACTTATGAAATGCAAACCATTTANNNCTACTTATGAAATGCAAACCATTTAAAGCACATTAGGACATTTAAATAAAAGCTCATTTTGTATTGATATTTTCTTTTCTCCCCCTGACTTTTTGTATATTTATTTTCCATATTTTTCAATATTTTAAGCTCATAATTATTTTTCACATCTTAAGTGCAGACTTTTCTCCATTAAGTGACTAAAATGACCATGTAACAAGTTTTAGGTTGATTAACCCAAGTCAGTTGACCATATGTACCAGGTTATGAAAAACCGCGCAGGCTTAATTGCTCAAGTCAAATAGGCTCCGAAGAAGAACATAAGATATTGAGCTTTCTATATTACCGAGGATCAATTTGAGCTTAGGTCTAATAAATAAGGTCAATTCATGTTCAAAGCCAACTTATTAACAAGTGACTGCTATTCCAAATCTCACACATGCGGTTAAGTCTCATTTACAATATCATAGTGTGTGCAGTGCAGATAGTACATGAAGACACATATGCTAATTACTCCATATCAACCTAAGCCAGCAATGGAAACTATGTTACAACTTATCAATTATGTCCATACATGATCACAACACGCAAGTTTAAGAAAGTCATGTATTATGCTGTAATAAAATTACCATCAATTATGTCCATACATGATCACAACACGCAAGTTTTATATTAAAGCATGAATGCATCAAGCACAAAAAATGTCAAACACACAGAAAAAATAATTAAAACAAAATGCAGAAGTTTTCTACATAGAAAATAAATAAATATGGTGCATACACAAGTCAATATCTCATAATGATAAAGCACGAGCATGCACCAACATACCTAATCAGTTAGGTATATAAATGCTCTTACCTTTGAGAGTATCGTGATCTATTTCGTAATTTTTTAGATCACTTTTCTTCACCCAAACTTATCCAGTAACATGAATATTTCCGGTCATCTGTGTCATTAAC